CTCCTTGGAGGGGATGAGAGCAGCCTTCCAGGAGGTACCCCCTTCCAGGACCTAGCTCCCCGGCAGCTCACCCCTCAGCATGCACAGGGGCCACCCCCAGACAGGAAGGGGGAGACAGAGGGCATTGGCTGGTGCCCCGGAGGCCTGGTGTGGCAGGCTCTGGAACCTGGGTCTTTGCTGCCTGGAACCACATGGACTGGCTGGGGGTGCCTGTGGCTCTGAGTAGCTAGAGGACAGAAATGCCACCAATGGACATCCCAACTCACACCACACGCGTGTCCACCCTACTTTCTCTTTCAGATGTGGGAGGAGTCCTACCAGCGGGTGGCTGACGAGCAGGAGATCTATGAAGGTCCCAGGCAGCCCTGCTGGGTGCACCCCTGTCCTGGAGCTAACCCGTGTGCCAGTGAGGCAGGAAGGCAGTCACCCACTAACCAGATACAAGCCCCATGCTCTTCCCTTAGCCCTTGACTTTGCCTCACAGCCGCTAACTGGCCCCAACACGATGCATCTGGGGCCAGAACTCAGTGAGTAGAAGGCCCTCTCGAGTCTCACTCTGCTCTTTAGAGAAAGAAGTGACGGGGGGAGTAGTTGGGATATGGCGATGGCGTGAAGCTGGGGGGTAAGAATCTCAAGCCAATAAGACCCAATACTCTGGCCTTGGCCCCTCAGCCCAGCTCCATGACCTCCTCCAGCTGAAGCAGGAGAATGCCTGCCTGACCACCATCACCAAGCAGATCACACCCTACGTCCGCTCGATTGCCAAGGTGAAGGAGCGGCTGGAGCCCAGGTGAGACCGGGGTGAGGAGGGTGGGGGTGTCCTCAGGGGAGCCCAGACCCTTCAGAATGTGTGGGGAAGGAGCCACATACTGGGAAGAGCCCCTTTCATGAGGGCCACGTGGGGCCTCTGACCACGTCGGGCCCCCACCACACGCCAGCTGCAGTGGCCTTTCAGTTTCCCGAAGCAGCTAGACCAGCTCCGCTCCCCCCTCTGCCGGGAATGTAGTTGCTTCAGATGGCGGGAGCCCTGTCCTCGGGTCTCAGTTTGAATGTCAGCGGAGGCCTTCCCAGACCACCCGACTGAAAGCCGGTCTCCGCTCACTGTCCCTCCCACCACTGGCTCGGCTGTGCCCTGACCAACCTGGGCCTGTCTCCCTGACCAGAAGGCAGCTTCCCCTCGGGAACTGCTGAGGACCAAGCCCTAGGCAGGCCCTTGAGTGTTTGCTTGAGTTTGGTTTTTGTGCAGCGTGAGCTTCAGGACACGCAGTGGGCGGGCTCTTCCTCTGCAGGTTCCAGGCTCCCGTGGACGAGGAGTCAGAGCAGCTCCAAGACCTGGGTGACGACAGCACGAACGACGAGGCCCAGGCCAGGTACAGCTTGTCTTCCCGCCCTGGGCGAGCGAACAGCTCATTCCAGAGACAGTGTGACGGGGAGACAGACCCCGGATTCCTTTCCCCTCCGGTTCCCTCTGCGGCCTTAGTGGGGCCTCAATTTGTAAAATACGGGTCAGAGAGTTTTGTAATCTGACAGGGACTCGGGGATGACAGATGTGACCTTGATAGACGTGACCCACGTTTTCTAACCATGGTGGCTGCCGGGCCCTGACACCACCGAGAGCCACCAGCACTTTGGACTGGCTCCTGGGCACTCACGCCACGCGGCTCACGCCCACTCGGCGAGGAGCAGTGAGGACCATCTGTGGGAGCACTGCTGTCATTGGAGCCACGGTGTTTGTAAAACAGGGCCGGAGGGAGAAGAGAGCGCAGTAAGACAGCCACTGTCACAGCGGGCTCTCCGCATTTCCCTCTGGGTGAGACGAGCTAGTCAGGGGGACGGGCGGAGAGCGGAGGTGCAGGGTCAGAGCTGACACGCACACTCATACACACACACACACACACACTCACACTCACACACACGCACACTCATACACACACACGCACACACACGCACACACCAGGCTCCACGGTTAGCTCCGATGCTTCAGGCGAGTGAACCGAGCTCCTGCTGAGAGAGCCGAGCTGCTGATGTCTGGGCTACTGCCTCTCATCAGAAATGAAATAGCCCTGAAGGAGACCACCGCTCTGGCTCTGATGACATGGTCGCCGTGCCTTCCAGAAAGGCTTCCTGTTCCAAAAGCCTGGGCCGGGTGGACGCCAGTGCTGGGCCCGGTGAAGCGGGGCGGCGGGTGGCGCCACAGGCTAGAACACACGTTCATGATCCTGTAGGAGTGACCCAGTGTGTGGGGCGGACAAGAGGGAGACCTCGGAGCCGAGAGGAAACAGCCGGACCCCGCACAGCCTCACGGAAGAGCCTCCCCTGCAGAGCAAAGATCCTCATGGACCCAAAGCGAGAAATGGGGGTGACGTCCCCCCACGGAGGGAGCGCCCCACCTAGCAGATGGGGCTGGCCCAGGGCGTGGGCCTGTCACGAGCCAGCCCGGGCCTGTAAGAAAAGCGCGCTCCCACCATGACGTTGCACAGGGGGAAGGGGGATTGCTTATCAGCAGTAAAACCCAGACACGCTCACGGGTCCTCATTTCAGGATCTGGCTGGGGCTTAGCTTTGCTTTCCCTGCGTTCACGTGGCACAAAGTCTGGGTTGTCATCACGGCGACAGGGGACGAGTCCTAGGCCACATGGCTGTTCAGTGAGGGACCATCCAGCCCAGCCGGTGTGGCTCAGTGGTTGAGCGTCAACCTATGAGCCAGGTCACAGTTTGATTCCAGTCAAGGGCACATGCCCAGGTTGTGGGCTCCATCCCCAGTGGGGGGAGTGCAGGAGGCAGCCAATCATTGATTCTCTCTCATCATTGTTGTTTCTCTCTCCCTTCCTCTCTGAATCAATAATAAATATTTTAAATAAATAAAGGAATACCCAGACTCAAGCCTGTCCGTGGCCCAGCCCATCCCCAGGGCCTGTGCTACCCTGTGCCAGGATTACCTGCGTGCCGGGAGGGGCGTGCCGCTCTGAACTTAGATAAGGAGACTCCATGCTCACAGGAAGCCAGTTTCTCCGGAGTCACAGCTTCACTGTTAACCGGGTGCCAATGGGAGGTTCCACCCAGCAATCTGAGCGCTGCTCAGCATAGGGAAACCCTGTGCCCAGCTTCCTCCCTCCCAGGCGAGGGCTGAGCTCCAGAGCAGGTGCAAGGCAGAACGGCCCCACCATAGCTCCTCGGCTCCCTCCCAGGCTGCTGCCTGCACCTGTGCTTGCCTTCTGTTGATTATTAAAGCAGATTCGGCAGCAACTTGTCTCTGGTAGCTTCCCATTCCTACACAGCGCCCTTTCTGCAAGAGGAACTTAATGGTCTTTAAATCGGAAAATTGCCCTGGCTGGTGCGCTCAGTGGTTAGAGCATCGGCTTGTGCACTGAAGGGTCCAGGGTTCAATTCCCGGTCAAGGGCACATACCTGAATTGCAGGTTCGATCCCCAGCCAGGGTTGGTGTGTGTGTGGGAAGCAACCAATCAATGTGCCTCTTTTATATCGATGTTTCTCTTTCTCACCCTCCCTTCCATTCTCTAAAAAAAAAAAAAAAAAAAAAAAAAAAAAAAAAAAAAAAAAAATTCAATGGGAAAAATACCCTTGTGTGAGGACTAACATACATAAAAAAGGAACATTAACCTACATGACCTAAAATTTAAAGTTTTGAGGCAAAATGATGCCCGGAGAGTCACATTTTAAGCAAACGTCCATTTTGTGTCAGGGGTTCAAACAGCCAACGGCTTTTCTGCACCAGCTGGGCTTGCACATCAATACGTTGGTGTCACACGAGAACTGCCAACCCCCCCAGACCCGCCGTTTCAGGGCCTGACGTCCGTGCCAGAGCGGCAAGACCTCGGGAGCCTGCAGGGAGGGAGCGCCTGGCATCACAAACGGCTTAGAGGCGGGAGTTCAGAACTGAGTCACGAATACACCTGCCTGATGCTGCAGGTCCTCTCGTTCCTCAGCCGGAGCGGTGACCTGGGAGCTGCCGCATCCCACACCATCACACCGCTCTTCGTAGTGAAACCGAGTATAGTTTTATTTCAGATTCGGAAAGAATATCAGTATCTGTGAACGAAAACCCAATTTAAAATACTTAAACAAACACTTCTGCATGTAGAAAGAAGAGTAGAATAATTACTCCATGAAGTTATCCTCACTTTGCCGGTTCCCCAGAGCGGCTGCCGGTGGCCGGGCCGGGGATGGCCAGTGCCCCAGGCCACAAGCTCTCAGAGCGGGGCCCAGGGAGCAGGTCCCACCGCGCGGCAATGCTGAGGGTGCCCACCCTCGCAAGTCTCTACAGAAGCAAAAACAGTGGGAGATGGCAGCTAAGGCAGTAGGAAAGTGCAGAGAAGGGACAGTGGTTAGGTCACTGCACCCGTTATGGAGGGACTGTTACCAAGATGAGCTGTGGCTGAGACCTCACTGAGCTGCATCTATTGATGCAATGCATTAGCTTAGGAATACTTCCCCCATCAGTCATCACCAGCCATCACCGAGTGCTGAATGGATGGGAGGGACTGGTAACATTGACTCTTACCAGCTCACACCAGGAGGGGCGGTGGGGTCTCGGCCTTTTGCTTCCTGCCCAGCTCGCTCCCTCCCTTGGCTGTAAGCTGCCACACGCAGCCCCGCAGGTCCTGTGTAAGGGCTCCGTCCACGGCTTCCAGGCAGCGTGGCTCTGCGAAATGCCCGTGTTCCCCTTAAGAAGCCCCAATGGCACGAGAAATCTCCTGGCGGTTTCGTTCGAGGACACTGGAGACGGCCTTGGCCCAGGAAGCTGGGGGAGTACCCAGAGAGCCCGCACCTCATTAACCCGATTCCCTGCCCGGCAGGCCATCGCTGCTAAATTTGTCCGGTTAAAAATAACCTGAAGAGCCAGGACCGGATGAAAGCCAGCCCCTTGCCAAACCCTGTCCCTCACCGGTTCATCTTCTACCCGAAGTCATCGCGGCCTCTGCCCTGGGACTGACTGCAAAGGAGGGCGCCATGTTCTCCCTGCCCCTCCCGACCGGCTCTGGAAAAGCCCAGCAGAGCGTCAGCCCCGGTGGCCCAGGGCTGAGCTCCTGGCAGCAGGAAGGCGGGCTCTGAACTCCGGGCAGGGGTCCACACCGGCTCCACGTGGCAAGAAGTTTCCCTCAATGAGCTGGGGGTGGCTGCCCCCCCCCCCCCCTCCCGCCAATCCTGCAGTCCTACTAAGTGGAGCTGATCTCACAGAGCGCGGTCTGGGGAACAAGGTTGGCTCAGGCCAGCAGTGGCCTTGGCCAGTCTGATTGCACAGCCCTCCCCGGGCCCAGGGCGGGTCCCTGGGTATCACCCCAGCAGTCAGCGACCCCGCACACCTCTTTGGTATATGATGACGAAATGATCAATTAGGCCGTGAAATCTAGAAATTAATACTATTTTGAGTTGGTAAAATGCTCTTTTGCACACATTTCCGGCATCTGGTACAGTTAACCGAATGTCCATTTTTGCGCAACTCTCACACAGTACAGATTCCACAATGTCCTCTGTCCTCTAAGCATTAAAAACGTTTGACGTTCTTCTGAGTCTTCACACCCCTGTGAGGTAGGCGGTATTGACCCCATTCTACAGATGGGGAGTCTAGGCACGGAAAGGTAGTGGCTCCTCGGAGGCCGCAGGTCTGCGCTCCGCCGCGGTCCCAGCGCCGCCGCCGCCCTGCGCGGAAGGATCTCACAGACCACGCTCCTGTCTCGTCCGGAACTAAACGAAGGTCTTTACAGCTCATGTTTGACTCCTACAGCCAACCACTCTCCCTGAACTGGAAAGACAAAAGCAGGACTAACTCTCAGTCGGGACTGCTTGCTCTAGGTAAGACTTTCACGAGTCGCCTTGCATTGTGCAGCTGTGCGAGCGCTCACACCCCTTTGGAAGACAGTTTGAAGTGGCATCAGGGACGATGAAATTTTGAGAACGAAACATAGAAATCAAGTTAATAGATTTGAATCAAAACACAAAACTACACGCTATGGTAAAAAATAGAACCCAAATCGATGGAGGGCAGTACTTCCCAGTGTCTGACAAGGCCTCGCAGAGAGCAGGCGTCCAGGAACCGCTTCTTGGACAAAGGACTAAGGACACATCTCGGACATGCCTGCCACTGATGACAGCCCCACTGGGGGAGGGCAGGGGCAGGCCAGGAGGCCATGGGAGGGGCGGGGCTCCCTGGTAACACAAAGCCAATTGGCCAGGTGTGGATGCTTCCTTTGTGCCAAATAGGAGTTGGGGCTGTAAACACCGAGCCCCTCTGCACGCACACTGCCATTCATAAAAACAGGTGTGTCAATAGGATAAATACATGGAGAGCCTTATCAGGAAGTGGCTTAAAACTGGATAGATGCTCATGCGCCCACGGAGGATGGGAATGAGGTGGTTAGGGGTGGTTTCGGTTAAAATATATCTCTGACGCTAGAAAGCCCTGGTGCCCACGCCCCTTCCGGCGGAAGAAACCTGATTCCGAGTAATGAGTCCACCTGGCCTGGGGGCGGGGGCTTGGTTACAGCCCAAATGCAGCGAGGCCTCCTGCGGCCAGGCCCGCCCAGCGCTGCCGATAATGCTGTTATCCGCTCCTTGTTCATCTTTCATTCCCATCCCAGCTCTCGATTCAGCCCAAGAACAGACGCTCCGGGAAGTTGGGGGAGGGGGCCTTTGGTCCTAAGGCCTCTGACCTTTGGTCTTGAGGGATGTTCCCAAAGAGGAAATGGTGAGTATAAAGTGATTAAGAGAATCCATCCTGCAGAGTGGCCCACCGGAGGCCGTTTTGTCCCGGGCTGCTCGGAGTGGGAGGCGCCGCGCCCCGGGGTCATAGCTCCACCTTGACCCCCTTTATGAAGGGCAGGCCCGTGGGCACCCGCTTCTTGTACTCCAGGTACTCCTCCCCGAAGAAGTGGATCAGCGAGATCTCCTCCTCTTCCGTCCGGTCGCGGAAGAAGCGCCACACCGTCAGCGCGTAGCCCACGCCGCAGATGGGGTTGCAGAGCATCACCTGGTGGGGACACGAGGCTGATCAGGGTCAGAGGGACGGACACTGTGGACACGAGTGGCACCTGCTTCTGTCAGATCCACAGGACTCCCCGCCAAGGGCCCGAGAGACCCTCCAAATAAATTAGATGAGGTGTCCAGCCGGCGTGGCTGTCGTTGAGCATCGACCTATGAACCAGGAGGTCACGATTGGATTCCTGGTCAAGGGCACACGTCAGGGTTTCGGGCTCATCCCCAGTAGGGGGGGGTGCAGGAGGCAGCCGATCCATGATTCTCTCTCATTAGTGATGTTTCTATCTCTCTCTCCCTCTCCCTTCCTCTCTAAAATCAATAGAAATATATATATTTTTTTAAATAAATAAAGAGGACCAACAACCTTGCGAATACACCGAAAACCACTGAATAGTAAGTACACTTTGAACTGGTGGATTTTATAGGTACGGGAATTATATGTCAAATAAAAAAATATTTGAAGAAAACTTAAAGGAGGCCAGGGTTACCTCTGATACTTTACCTGGGTTCCGATACTCCAGTAAAACCACCCCACGTAAGAAGGGTGCCGGAACCAGGCATACACCCCGCTCGTCACCAGAGTGTGGGTTTCTGACTTTTCATTCTGCACCACGTGGTTGAAGTTGGAACCAGCTGTAAACATCGCCGCTTTCCTCAGACACTCTCCGAAGACCACCATCAGCAGGCCCGTGGTGCTGAGCCAGGTGACCTGCTTCAGTTCTGCAGGGGACACGTGACAAGCGGACTGCTGAGTTCTCCCTTTGGATGCTTAAAATGAATCTATTTTCCAAGACAGGAACCGGGGACCGCACCTCGCTGGCTGGGCACCAGCATTTGTCATCAGGTTAAAATGTAAGTATAAGCAAAACACATCCCCCTAAGTTGTGCTGTTCATCCTTTTAAAGTGCCAACAACCAGCCCAGCTGGTGTGGCTCAGTGGTTGAGTGTTGACCCAGGAACTGAGGTAGCTGGTTCGATTCTCAGTCGGGGCACATGCCTGAGTTGCGGCTTGATCCCCAGTAAGAGGCGTGCAGGAGGCAGCCAATCGATGATGTTCCTCTCTCATCGATGTTTCTATCTCTCGATCCCTCTCCCTCCCTCTCTCTAAAAATCAATAAAAAATATATTTAAAGCGCCAACAGCCCAGTTAGAGCATCATGGCAAAGAGCTGATGGGCTCTCCGTCCACGTCCCCTGCCACACACTCCTGTCCTTCCCTTGGGGACAAGGACAGCCAAGTGAAACACAGCAGGACCCGGCGCTCCCGCTCTGGCCATTCACTGACTCCTGGGACTACATACATGTGGTTACTTTGCTGCGGGAAGTTCACCTGGGGAGCAGGCTCCTGGTGCAGTGGCTTTTGCTAATAAAATCTCCCTGTGGAATTTCTCAGCCACAGAAAAGCCATGGATCCGAGTCTCCTCCGACGGGGAAGTTAGGATTACAGCGATCAGAGGGAGGGCCTCGTCTCAGAGGGCGCACTACGCGCTGCAAGGCTTAAAGCAAGAGGTCACCCTGCCCTCGACTTGAACATCCGGAAGCGGGTGCACAGTCCGTCCTCTATAAAGAGCTTAGTGAGGATGGAGGTCTGCGGAAATCGCTCCGGGAGATTAGGCCCGAGGGGAGAGCCCCCCCACCCCATCTGTCACTGCCATGACGCCCGCGTGGAAGCCACCCCCGCCCGGGGGCGAGCAGGGCACACTGACCTGGCCAGAGGAGGTTCTCAAGGGTGAACTCTATCCAGGAAGAAAGGGCGGCCACGGTGTACTCCAGGCTGTGGTTCAGGAGGAAGGAGTCCAGGGACAGGCTTTTCGGGTTGTTGACCGCCGTGACCAAGTATTCCGAGTAGTGGAACAAGGACAGGGAGCACATGTACCTATTGACAGCAAAGGAGAGGTTAAACTTGAACTTTTGGGGGAGGTCAGCTGGGGCGAAGGAATTGCCATGGGTCCAAGCGCAGATCCGGGCTGTGAAACTATGCCCGAGTCCTGAGGAGTCCCGCTGTCCCGCTGTCCCACCTGAGGGTGGACCTCAGGCACCCATACTACTCCCTCAGGCTTGCAGGCAGTGGTCGGTTTTATGGTTTTTTACGATTCTTGATTGCTTGCATTTACGTATTTACTTATTTATTTATTTTTTAGAGAGGAGAGGGGAAGAGAGAGAGAGAGAAACATCCATGTGGATCGGCTGCCTCCTGCACACCCCCTACGGGCATGTGCCCTGACCAGTATTGCACCCAGCACCTTTCAGTGACCAGGAGGACGCC